GTACACGCAGACGGTTTTTTTCGCTCTGTCAGCCACTGCGCCCAATGTCCAAATCAAATGTCTGACAGTTTTCAGAAGTTGACTCCCAGAACAGGAAGATGCCACGATCATTTAAAGCAAAACCATTTGTCAGGCATCTTCGTACGATACTAACCCTGAGACTGGATGGTGGCAGGAAGCTCTGCCGAAGGAGTAGAGCAAGTCTAAGACGCACGAGTGACAAAACGAGATGGAAATGAACATGGCTTCCACAGCGTCTGATGTACATTTGGAGTTAAACTTGAGCGTGTTTCATAATGTTTGCGCGAGGTTACAGTGGACAGCGGAGGACATGGAGGAGTGGGAGTCGATGGGGTTGGGTGTACACTGGGTACATGCCGACCAGTGTTCAGGACAGCAACCTCAGTACCTTCCACACTCGTGATTTGTTCGCATTTGTCGCGTTGGATTCGGAACGCATTCGTCACTCAGAAGACAACGCACAATGGAGCGTTGCGGGATGGTTGCAATGTCCAGCACAGTTGACCACATAGAAGGATAAGAATAAATGCCGCCGAGTAATCTTATCGAGAGAAGTCTCAGGGGGCGATTTTCCGCGACGAGACACAGACGGGAGTTTGCATAAATTGGCAGAGGTGTTGGAGGAAATTAGTAGAATTCTCGTTTAAATTAGAGAGGGGAGGGTAGGATAAGGCATGCCGCCGAGGTAGGAGGCTGGTACAGAACACCGGTCCGGCGGTTGAGCAGTCAAGACTCAACTTGAGGACTGAACAGATGCTCAACAGGACCAATAGAACCTGGTATGTGCAGTTCTGCGAATTTTCAGCGGCGCATAATTAGGCCCTAAGTTATGATGAAATGGTTCGGCCAGCTCTTTTACAGCCAGGCGATAGATTCTGACCTGGATTCCGTGGCAGGCAAAACAGTAAAGAAGGGTGTGCAGGAGACCAGACTGAGACTGGGCTCCTCGATCTGTCGTAATGACTGAAGTTGGAGCTGTCAGAAGTTAGAGGCCCAGTGAGGGAGTACTGTCCTGACCACAGTCAGTTCCACTACATCGGACGTCCTCCCACCGGTGGGGGGGGGGAGAGCGTGAAGACATGGCGGTGATGCTGGCTGCTGGGTTTGGGGCAGGACGGATGGTGGCGGGGGGGGGGGAGTGGGGGCATTGACTATGTGATTGGCGGTCGGTGCGGGGTTTGAGGCAGGGTAGCTTTAATGTCACATTGTTTCCAAAGGTGTCCAACTAGACCGACTCGTGCGCGGAATGCGCATTGACAACTTGGGCATGTTGGAAGTAGCTGATGGTTTGCACTGAGGAGGCGGGACACTTGTGATCTGCGAGCTTCTCGTTGGGCTTTGGCGGGGGCATCTGATTTACTTGGCAGCGCCGGTCGTTAATTCACTCCTCTAGGTCGATCTGTTCTGGGCGAAGTCCTCCCAGCTCTCTGGACTGATGTCTGATAGCTTAAGAGAATCTTTTAATGGCCTCGTTTTGGTCCTTCCGCTCGGCGAGCACCGGTGGCGACATCAGCATAGAAAAGTTGTTTCGATAGACTTGTGGTCTTCCATTCTCGCGAGATGGCCGTCCGACGTAACTGTAGTTGCGTCAACATGGCATGAATACTAAGGATGCCAGTCCGTTCTGGGACTTCCCTGTCGGTGATCCTGTCTTGCCATCCGAGATTTAATATTCAACAAAGACAGCTGAGATGGAAATGGTTGAGTTTTTTTGCCATGACTGGAATAGACGGTCCAGTTGCTGTGAAGACCAGTACCTGCTTAACCGAACACATTGGTTTTAGGCCACCACCATCCTTGCGGCAGACGAGGACATACAGAAAGACCAGTTGATTATTTTCTTCCTTCTCCATCGTAAATTGAACGCCTGGGAAGACGGCGTTGAGATGTTCTTTGAATGTCAACACCTGATCCCGTGCGATGGCGACGAAGGTACCATCCAAATACCGAGCCGATGTAGTGTCGGAAGACCTGCGACTCCAACCGTTGTAGGACCGCCTCGGGTATGAGACCCAAAACCAGTAAACCCATTGGCTTGCCCTTCATCTGTTCGCAGATTGTTCCGTCGAACATAAAGTACGTCTTGAGACAGAACTTTAGAAGTTGGATAATTTGGACCTGTATGGAGCGATTCTCCTTTTCATTGTATTTGTCTCGCAGGAGTAGTTCAATGGTCTTGATTGTCAGGTCCTGTGGAATAAAAGCAAAGTCGGACGTGGCATCAAAGTATACCATGACGTCGCTTGGCAGGAGACTTACCCCTTTGATTTTCTTCAAGAATTGTGTTGGTGATCTGACTTTAGTGTTCCAACTGGTTGTCATAAACTTGAGACTTCGACACAGCCACTTTGCCATTCTGTATGTTGGAGTGCCTTTTAGTGATAGGATTGGCCGGAGCGAAGCGCCCTCTCTGTGCACGTTTGGGAGAACGTAGAATCTGGTCAGGGCCGTTTCTTGCGTTCTCGCCATGTGGCGGTAGATCAGTGATATTGCACCTGATTTCTCCATTGCCAACATCGTTGCATTGATCTCGTGTGTCAGAGTTTTTTATGGGGTTGGATTCTCCTGGGAAATAGGACTGACGAACCTCCAACAAGCTTTTAGCTTTCTGAATGTAGTCTGTCCTGTCCAGTACGACCGTGGAACGGCCCTTGTCCGCACGCACGTTAACGAGGTCGTTGTCTGCCCTGAGTTCGCTAAGTGCATCGCGCTCGACCCTGGAAAGCACGTCGCGCGGCCTATGAGCTGTGAGGAGGGAGGACACTTGGTGTCGAATGAGGTTCATCGTTTCGTCTGTCGCTCCCGACTGGCTGAGGATTGATTCCACTGCTGCGATCATGTTGGCATGTTTGGCATCGACTGTGTTGAAAAAACAGCTGCGGCTGGTGGATTCCAGCCCAAATGCCCTTATCCATTTTCGAACCGAGTCTAAAAAAGGTTTTCCCAAAGGATCGGTTCCATGTTGGCACATTACTTTCTGACAAAATAAAGAACCTTTTCATTGAAAACTGTAGTATACGCCGGAAAGAGCATAGGAGAGGCTGGGAGATCAGCTGATGAGGTAAGACCCGCGCACTTGCGTCAATCAGTGTAACAAAATTGGCGAAATAGGTGCCTGAGCTTTCATCTAGTATCCGTGCTGGCAAACATAAAAATGTCAAAAGTACTGAAAATTCACAAAACAATGCTCAAAACTAAAAAGGAAGAGTCCTCATCCCTGTGGGCAGAGAGGCCGCTGCTGCCTCACGGGGCAAACATAGCTGATACTGCCGCACGAATATGTCTACAAGGAAGCAGTCTCGCGCCGGATCTACCTTACACCCTCCTCTTACCCTCATCGTTTTATTGTGGCAAGGCCGATGCAACACAGCCCGGGGTGAACGCGGACGCTTTGAACGACAAAGCCAACCAGTCCGTCTGCGGCCACCACATGCAATATTAAGCCCCCAACTTCGTGCGTACTAGACCTCTTCCAGGATGTGCTCGGATCACAGGCAAGTGGGACTGCCACAACGGCCACATTAGGACAGAAATGTACCAAAGAAGCTGAGATGAATAACGAAATAACGTTCCTCGATGTTCTACACAGACAAGAGGATGGCCGTATCCAACTTCAGCGAGAGGCGCGCCTTGTTGAACTATTGAGCTGGTTCGCCAATCTCTGTGCGATGTATTCTCAAGTGACTGGTCAGGTCGATTTGCGAGGTGAATGTACGATCTCAGTGAGGACAGGTTGGCATCGAGTCCACATCGCTGGAGGTGGGCGTGTTGATAGTGATAGTAGTAGATGCCGGGACATCGGATGTCGTCCCATCGTTGGGAGAAATGCGAGAGGTCAAGGTGTTGGTGGAGCTGGTCGCTGTGGTCGATGCAGGGGTTGGGGCAGGGAGGGTGATGCCGGCAATGAAGAGTCGGAACACTTGTGACTTGCCAGCCTCCCTTTTGGCTTTGGCAGTGGTGTTCCGGTTAGCTTCTTAAATGGTTGCACCAGTCTTCTCTTATCCAGGTCGGTCTGTTCTAGGCGATGTCCTCCCAGGTCTCTGGGTTGATATGCACTGGCTGCAGAGAATTCTTCAATGTGTCCTTGTAGCGTCATTTTTGTCCTCCCGGTCGGCGAGCACTCGTGGCGACATCTCTGTAGAAGATTTGTTTTGGTAGGTAAGGGTCGTCCATTCTCACCTGATGGCTGCTCCATGGCAGCTGCAGTTGCCTCAGCATGGCGTGAATGCTGAGGATTCCGGCCTGTTCCAGGGCTTCCATGTCGGGGATCCTGTCTTGCCATCTCAGCTATAGTATTCTGCAAAGGCAGTTGAGATGGAAGTAGTTGAGTTTCTTGGCATGGTTGGAATAGACTATCCAAGTCTCCGCCTCCTAAAGAAGTGTCGTCGGGATGACAGCCCAGTGCATCTTCAGCCTGGTATTCAGTTGGAGGCCGTGACGATTCCACACGGAGTTGCGTAGCTGACCAAAGGCTTGGCTGGCTTTGTAGATCCGGTAAACAACCTCATCGTCGATTCTGCTGATGTTGGAAAATGTGCTTCCGAGATAAGCAAAATTGTCCACGGTGTTGATTTGGTGGCCGTTGAAAGTGATTGAGGAGGAGTGCAGTGTTGCGTGTTGAGTGACGGTTGATGCATGACCGCCGGTTTGTCCGTGTTGATAGTCGGGCTGACGTTGGTGCGACCGGCGTTGAGGAAGTCCATGCTCCGCTGCAAGTCCACTTCCGTCGTAGCACTGGGCGCGCGCAATCGTCGACGAAGAGCAGATTGTGGACCGTAGTCGTAGAGAGCTGTACTCAGGCCTGCATGCGCTTGCTGCTGAGAAGATGCCCGTGAATTCTGTAGGCGATGCGTATCCCGGGACACTCATCACGGCAGGTGTCCATCAGCATGGCATAGAACATGATACTGAAGAGGGTAGGCACGTGGACGCAGCCCTGCTTCACCCCCTTTGTCACTGCAAATGCCTTGGATGTTGCGCCGTTGTGCGTGACGAGCGCCACCATCTCATCTTGAAGTTGACGTACAATGTGCGTGAATCGTTCACGATAGCCGAATTTTGGCATGATTTTCCACAGTCTTTCGCGCTTCTTCGTATCAAAGGCCACTTTCGAATCCAAAAGGTAGTGTAGAGGTGGGTTCGCATCTCCTGGCAATTCTCCTGTAGCTGGCAAGCGGCAAACACCATGTCAGTTGTGCTCTAGTGTCGTCGAAAGCCACACTGGCTTTCCGGCAGGAGTGCTTGCTGGAGGTGTCTGTTGAGGTGACTGAGGAAGATGCGAGCGGAGATATTTTCAGCGATTTTGAGTAGTGAGATGCCTCTGGAATTGTCGCAGACTTGCCGGATGTCTTTGCGCTTGTAGAGGTGAACAGTAGTCGCGTGCTTGAAATCCTTAGGACTTGCCCACATCGCCACATTTCCTGAAATAGCGCGCTGAATTGGTTCATCAGGTGGTGGCCGTCGTGCTTGTAGATTTCGGCTGGGATTGAGTCGGAACCTGATGCATTTCCGATGGAGAGCTGTTTCAGAGTGAGGATAGTTTCTGGAAGGGAACGCAGGAGGTCCAGGTCGAGACTGATTTTCACTTGTGGGAGCCGGTCGTTGGCGCGTCGGCGATTGTGGAGGGACAGTTGAGGACGCTTCTGAAGTGCTCGGCCCAGCGCTTCAGTATCTGTGACTTCTCCATCAAAAGCGTTGATTCATTGGAGTTGAAAATTGGTGCAGTTCTCTTTGTTGGGAAGCCGTAGATCGCCTTGATTGCAGCGAAGGAATTCTTTGAGTCATGGCCGTCGATGTATGCCTGCATCTCTTCGTCCTTGCGAACCATCCAGGAGTCCTGCATTACAAGCAATCGTTGCTGCGTTACGCGACGACATCGGTAGAAGGCCGCTTTATTTGCATCGATTGGACGGTGGAGGTAGGCTCCGTGCAGCCTGTTCTTCTTGACCAGCAGGATACTGATGGCGACGTTATCTTCGTCAAATCAGCCTTGGTGCTGACGATGTGCGTGTTCGAGGACAACATGGACAGTCAAGTGAACGGGGTCCCGCAGTCGACATTATCGTGACTCCACTGGGATGTTTTCATCTGCTGCTGGCAGGTGTGTCCTTATTATGCGTTTTTGGCAGACGATATAGTCTGGGGATATGTGTACAGATATGCGGGTTCATATGGCATAATAGTTTCCTTCCGCAAATAAAGATACGACCCTATCAAATGTTTGTTCTCCCCGTCCTCGAATATTGCTACCTTACAGGAGAGCAAGCCATGTAAACCCAATGATACAAGATGATTATTTATCAAGCCCTTGTTATGAAATCGTAATTTTCGTGTGTCTGAACGGTGATGGTCATTTTTGAAAAGGCAGTCGCCAGGTGACAGTGAGTTAACACACGGTCACTGTGGAATATGTCCGTCCACCCGTCGGGTAATATAACACACATTTCTCGGACACAATGCATTTGAACCTGCCGCTGACAGCCTTTTTGATACGCTGAGGAAATCCCAGGGACAACCCGTAGAAATTGGACTAAATCAGCAATCGAGATAACGTCGCAGTCGGTCCACCATTGATCCACAAGCAAAGACAGCACTAAATCATGCACCTTCTCCTTCCCTTTCCTAAACTCGACTTGATGAGGTGATTTAGACAGTCTGAATCCACTCGCTGTATAGATACTGCATGCGCGTTGGCAACGCTCTCAAACTCGATGCCGAGTGCTTCACAGTAGTCTCTGTCTTACTTTCGTGGACCTGACAACGCCTTCGACACCGTGGTCTGCGATGCAGTCTGGAGGGTCATGCTGAAATTCGGATGGCCAGAGCGCTCTAGTCACATGGGACGACAGCTCCACGGTGAGACGATAGTGCGCGTCATAGTCACTGATGCACTCAGGTGCATTCGCCGAAAAATAATGGAGCGGAGAAGGGCAGTGAAGTCAGTTCCCTACTACTCAGTCTCTTGTTCTTTGCCAGGCTGATGGGCGCATATTATTAGTGTGCCCAGATATCAACGCCTGGAAGGAAGGGTATACTTCGGTCTTCAAAAGTTTCTAATTTTGAAATTTTTTAATACCGTGAAATGCCTGTTCATAATGCATTGTCACTGCACGTACCAATGTGGCTTTTAAGGTTTACAATATGGCTCACATCCACTGCTAAATTTTGTGAACCCCATATAGTCTTCTTTTACCTTGTTTATCATCCTCGAGGAAGACGAAGAAGAGAAGGCGATTTCGTGGACCAGATTGTATTCAAGCTGACGTTTCGGAAACTCTCTCGTTTCCATCACCAGAGTCGTTCACTGGCGTTTCCTACTGGCCTTGATTTGTTCAGCCTTGCCGCCTGCCTCGTATTATAAACGTGCCCAGCGCACGTAGGTTGGCTAGCCTGTTTTCTGTTGGTTGATTGTGACCTCTGTAATCCCACTCTTTCTTTAATATCGTAGAGAATTTTATGGTTTTCCGCACGCGGAAAATATACGGCCTGTACTTTGGAAACCCTGAATGCAAGCGTAACGGCAGGTCGAGTTTAAAATTATTCAGGAATCGGAAAAGCTTTTGAAAACCGTATTATACACTTCCTTCATGTATAACCGTGGAAGGAGACATAATTTTCTACCAAATAAGTAAAATGATAAATATTTTATGTATTTTTTCATGAAATACAATTAAATACTCAAGGGCATCGAGAATCAATGAGAAAAATGCGTGCTATATAAGTAGTCATTTTTTACAGAGTGCAGTTTCTGTGTGTGTGGCCGGAAAGAAGTTTGTCTGAAAGCTGGCATCATGAGGTAACTGCGTTATAGTTGAATTATGCTTAATGATAATTAATTTTAAAACCAAACTTAAGTAATCTTTTTGAAACGACAACGCATTTCAGAATTTCGGCCAACATTTTATGAGTTAGTACACCTAGTACATGTGTTTGTGCCTCCGGCCACAGACGTTTGTCGTCAGTATTTCTGACTGAGCTAAGTACAAATACATTAGTCAGCAAGACCTCTTCTTTTATTCACATATCACGCTCACTGCACATGAAATCGCTTCGCGGAGTGACATGTGGTCCTCCCTTCTAGTGACTGTCTCCACCCTGTTCCTAAACTCTTTTTCTCTGAAGAACCAATCGGACCCGGTGTTGGTCTAACCCGGACTGAATACACGAGTCCACTCAGAATGGCATGCATGTACTTTAGAGTGTAATTCGAGGGCCCAATGTCGGAAAATAAGTGATCCGCACAGCCAAAAGGTGACCGACTATGACCAGCAGTAGGACGATTGAATGTCCGTCCTCCAGGTCTCATCTGTTGCCTACGCCCCCCTAGTCATATGCTCGAATTAGGCGATATCCCCTCCCCTCCCCACACCACCCCATGGTCGTCCAAACCTAGTGCTCGAAAATCGCAGGATGACAACGTCCATTAGGCAAAAAATGAATAATGCCGTTTCTATCGCCGTTGTCCTCTCTATCTGACAGTCTGGCGTAGACCGTAGGACGCGAATGCAATGCGGACTCAGTGCTCTTCAGCCAGATGAGCGAAAAATTTTTGTTCAGCTAAGCCATTGCCTTCTCTCGTGCTATTACGCCGACTTGCCATGTGTCACCTTATCTGACAGAGTCCACTTCCCTTGAAAATAGAAGAATGGAATGCAATAATTACCCTTGTGCGATAGGTGGGCGTTATTTTGCTAAGTCTACGCAGTATACTTTTTGACAACCCCTCTTAAAAACGTTATTGTTGTTTATGTCCGCTGGTTGCTTTAAGAGTGTTATTAAGGGCGATTAACCGACGTTCCACTGTCACTTCATAGATTCATACAAACTGGTACCGGGCCTTATGGTGCATATGAAGTTGTTCTAATATGAGCCGGACGGCATGACTTATGAAGTGTCGCAACTGGTGCTCACTGGTCTAATGGAATGCAGAAGAATCCATTTTTTAAGCAAAATACACTTATGGGACATGCTTCGAGCAAATAGTCGAATATTGTTAAGTGGAAGCGACCTTTCCTCACGCACAGATGGCATCAATTTTTGTGAGCCGATAATCGTGGTTTGAACATGTTTGCATAGATGCCCGTCGCGCTCTCGAAAGCCATGCCTCATTTTACGTAATTACGGTGAGGTAAGATGTAAAAGGAGTTCTCGTTTCAACGGCGCTGCGATAATCTCGACCCATGAGACCCTCAGTCGTTAAAATCTACACTTTTTTCGCCCTAGAATCATGCATAGCCTTCAACGTGGACAACATCTCGCTGTAAAAGAAAGTTATTAATGTGATTGCGAGATTTCTGTGCCAAACCAACCGCAAAAAACCATCACACAGCAGTAGATTGCTGTCATTAGTTAAGCACCACCTGCAGATACGGAATCAAGTTGGTCCCAGTAAAAGACCTGGTGTAGTGCATGACATCCGAAAGAGCTCTTGAAAATACAGAAGCCAGGCAGCACAGATGTCTGCAAACTACTGTAGATGTCTTATCTTATTAAATGGCAGCCGAAATTCAGAAATATGTTTTTTTATTGGAAAAGATTACAAGATAGGCTTGTAATACTGATGATTGCGCGGCCTAATCCTAAGAAAATTCTATCATGCCACGCAATTCACCAATCTGGAAACAGCATGATCAGCGAGTTGATCGAAGCTGGAGACACTAGTGACAACACAGCCAATCCACAAATTTTACAGATGATGCTGCACAAGGTGGATCCGCTCAGTCATTTCAAGTCTCAGAAGACTTCTGATTTATTAACAAAGTGTCCGTTCGCTTCGACTCCACTCTGCTCTTGCGCCACCCTATAGCCCTCTGAATGAGTCCATAAAAACACACCCCAAAGCATCCATGATCGAATCACTGCAGGATAGCGATAGGTAGGAGACCATGCGAATTTGGCTGATGGGGGGCAACAGCCGAATGACTAGATTCATCCGTTTAAGTCTGTCCCCAAGCATTTACGGGTGTGGAATCCTTCCTCTTCTTAATGCTCCTGCCTATCATACAGTCAATTCAGATAACTGTTGCGAATTGTTAATTGGAAAAAAGACATTTTGCTGCTGTAGTTGGGCGGAGGTTGGTGAAATGAAATTTTCATTTGCCGGCAAGTCCTCCGAACCAAACGAAAGACGCTTTTTCCCAGAGACAAAATCATGACTACTGTCAATAAGTATTAATTTACTCATGGTCTAGGATCTGGGCATTTATTGGTCATCATCATGCATCGAAGCACAACAATCCACAGGACGTCTACGCCATACGCAATTACTGCCATCATATCATATGATCTAGGTACATTTACCCATTTCGCATAACCATACCACCGCTCACCGATCGTTTCTACGGATCTAACTAGTCCCGATTTACCTCGAGCCCAGCCAGATCATAAGCCAGAAATGTCCATTCCAGTCACACTTGTCTTTGTCGGTTATACCATTCTGCCTATATGTGGGCGTTTGTCCGGTAGTGAGATTTGTTGGTCGTCACTGTGCATCTGACCACATCAGTCGGCAGGATCACTACGACATGCGCAATTTCTGCCATCGATTCTTGCGATCTAGGTACATTTTCCCTAGTATTTGCCGGTTCTGCCCATATTATGCTGTGCAGCTGCTGGCGGGGGTCGAGAGAGAGAGAGAGGCCCAAGATACAACGGTACGCGTGAGTTCCTTAACGCGATTGGTGAGCCCCCCCCAACCATCATTTAACACAGCACTGGCATCATCCTAAAGGACCAACGAATATTACCCTACCCGGCTGCATTACACAGTTACTATAAGTAAACGGAAGTTCTTGATGCAACATGCCTGCGCGGCACGTAAGGCGAGTGCAGAGGCTGTTTGCTGTCTCAGGCACCACTGCAGTCAAAGCCAGAGATCTGCTTTGCCACAACCGATGACTCTCAGTTCGACATGTCCCAATTTACTTATTGACTGGGATCGTGGCATCTACCTGGTAGTGATATTTATTGGTCCTCATCATGCACCTAAGCACATCAATCGACAGGATGACTACGCCATACGCAATTACTGCCATCGCTTCTTATGGTCTAGGTCCACTTTCCCCCTTCGCATAACCATACCAGTTTCTAAAGTAACCACATATCTTGGGAAATGAGTAGGCTAAGCAATTCTCAGAAAACTTCTGTGCCTAAGTTGAACAGCAGATTGTTTTTTTTCTTTACAAAATCAAATAGTTCATTCAAATTTTACAAACAGGGAATGTGCGAAACATTCACCCGTATTCAGCCGACGTAATCTAAATTCAATTGCATTTTTACCGTCGGTAAGTGTGTGGACTTGTGGATGATCCTCGTCGATGTACGCGCACGGCACTGCAAAGGCCGAACAGCGGAAATCATCGATCGAAATGAATTCAGACAATTCAGCAGTCTTGTTTGGTCTGCCTGATTTGGGTACACACAATGAACTGGATGATCCATACATGCCTTTAACGTATTGATCGAAGTTCCGGACAGTTCGAAACAATGTTCCATCCTGTGGCCTGTACTCCGATTACAACACATCTTCCTGCGCATATGTAATGCGAAGTGTGCAGGCTTCTATTCTACCGTTCTGAGTATCCTCATCCAGTAGAAATCGGCGTAATAGCGGCAGGGCGCGATGAGTTCTGCAGTAGATTGCATGGTGTCGCATACAACGTAGCTTCCATTCATTTCGACGCATCGTTCATCACGCTGCCTCCAGAGTGGATCATTGCCACACAGAAATCCAAACTTCGGCATCCCATAGGAAGATCGGGCGTCGAGGAGACGCATCTCGGTAGTCGCATTAGCCGACAGTTTTGCCAAAATGCTAACTGCCCTTTCCATCTCATGTTCATAAAATAAAAAGTCATAATCTACATCGTAAAACATCCGCTGATGATATCGTAACGATCCCACCACCGAGCCAAATGTCATTATGAGGGTTATATTTTCCCTGTCAAATTCATCCCTCAGCAAACGCAGGGAAGGCCAAAGTTTCATTCGATCATGGGCATTTGGATCCCTGTCTTTTAAACAGTTGCGCACAACGGTGTTAATCAGGACATCGGAAGGTCTGCCAGCCTAAATTTGTCCACCCTTGTAAGTGGCTGACACGTTTTTCTGGTTGGAGGGCAGACACCACGATCTGGGCACAGGCAAGAAGTGGGGTTCTTCGAAAATTCGGAGGTAGGCCACGAGCTGTCCTGTCTGTTCATCAAACTTTGCGTCCTCTAAGTGGTTCAACCTGCGGTCCGCCTTAATATTGTTATACAATGGGGAAATCCCCATGGATAATCTCTCCTTGTCTCTGCCGATGAAAATGTCAATTTCTACGTAAGCTGCAGCCCACAGGATTACACACAGAGCCAGGACGACACATGCGGCTATCCGGCGATACACTAGTCTTATGTCGATTCGCTTTCAGCTAGCTCTGCTTTTAGGGTGGATAGAGCTCAGTGTATGACTGTGAAGCGTTTTGCAGCAGTATTTATACTGTGTCTGAACCAATGATATCAGTTTGTTCTCTTTGCCAACGAACCGCATCGTCAGTTTTTTTTCAGGCGGATTGAGGCAAAAAATCAAACACCTTTGTCAGTTGCAGAACAGGACGAATTTTTCTAGCTCTTTTTGCCAAACGTCGGATTAGATTTCGTTTTTGTTGAAGAGGTATAAAATTGGCGAAGTCCGTGTTTTGTCCAGACCAGGCTTTCTTCCGCATCTTCGGATGCTGTCGACAGGTCTCCTGCTTAGACGAACATGTAGGAAAGGGAGCGAACCGGCCGTTTCAATCTCCAGCGTGAATTTGATCGACGGATGTGCCTGATTTGCACCATCTAAGAGGATAACTGCGACGGTTTCTACGTTGGCAATGGCAAATGTATCTGACGTAACAAGGTTATGTTCTCACGAACTAACGAGTTATATTTCCCGATCCTCTATCCTTAATGGCAGCAAGTAAAACTGAGCAGTGAATAATATAGAGATTTTGAGCGTGAAGAAACCTGACAACAGAGCACGACGGCGGAGCACGCTCGCAAGGCGGGTCTTACAGGTGTCGTTTTTTGACACATTCAAACGAGCAATGCAGGCAAAGAAAACGGGTCTAAATTGTTAAAGGTATATTAGTCCGGTACCTCACCACAGTACCCCCCTACTAGACCGGAGGGCGACGGAATACGGCGCCGGAGGATATGTATAAGTCTGGAAAAAATGCGTAACTAAACGATCCGGGAAATGAACGTGACGCTACTGTGAGTGATGTACGCAGGAGGTACAGTCGAAGAGGGTTGACTGCGTGCCATGGCGGAGGATGATGTTGTAGTTTGATGCTGTAGACATTTAGGGAGAGTAGGTATGCGGGACGGAGGCGTAGAGGGCAAGGGAGGAGAAGTGCGAGGCAGTGGGCAGGGTGAATGAGCAGGGGATAGGGAAGATGGAGAAACAGGGGTTAGGGGGTCAGCACATTTTTGCTCTTGCGACAGGTCCGGCGGCTCCTCTGCAACAGCAGCCTTGACTCGATCAACATTGATCACGTCCTCCTTGTCACCACGAACAATCCGGCTGGTCTTGGTGTTGCGTACGAGCACGCGAAACGGTCCTTCCTATGGTGTTTCCAGCAGCTGGCGTACACAGTCACACCGGACGAACACATGAGTACAGTTGTCCAAGTCTTTTTCGACATAAGACTCAGTCATTGGGGCTCGAGGTGGAACCGGGGAAAGCGAGCGCATAAATTGCCGCAAACGGTGCACAAAGCTTTCAGGAGTCTCGTTGGCCCCACGAGAGATTGGGATGATCGTCTCGCCTGGCAGTCGGAGGGTAGTGCCGAAAACCAATTCAGCTGCGCTACAGCCCGCATCCGACTTCAGAGCTGCGCGGATGCCGAGGAGTGCAAGAGGAAGGTTGTCCGACCAGTTTCCTGGGTCTTCTACGGCACGCAGGGCGGTCTTTAGCTGGCGATGGAAACGCTCAACCATACCGCTGGCAGCTGGGCGGTAGGCTGTCGTCCGAATGCGTGTGCAGCCAAGGAAATTGAGTAACGTTTGGAAGAGTGCCGACTCAAACTGGGCACCACGATCAGTCGTAACCGTGGATGGGGCACCACACATGGCGATCCAACGACTGACGAAGGCCTTCATGATGGTTTCAGCCTGCGCATTCGGCATACGAACTGCTTCAGCCCAGCGGGTATATCGATCAACACAAGTAAGGAGGTGGGTGAAACCACTGCATGGAGGCAAGGGGCCTACGAGATCCAGGTGCACATGGCTGAACCGTGCGTCGGGACTGGGGAAAGTGCATGGTGGGGACTTGTTGTGACGCTGGACCTTGTTGCGTTGGCCGCTCAGACACGACCGAGTCCAAGCTTTGACATCCTTTTTCATGCCAGGCCTGACAAACCTTTCCGCAAGGAGCTTCTGAGAAGCTCGGATCCCAGGGTGGAAGAGTCCATGCAGAACTTGAAATACAGCTCGACGCATCGAAGCGGGCACAAAAGGGCGATGGAAGGGAGTAAAGACGTCACAAAGTATGGTACCAGAGCCGGTGGTCAGAGGAACGTCTTTGAGTTGAAGACCACTAACAGACTCGTCTTCAAGACAACCGACTCGCTGTTGCTCAGCCGCCATGGCGCAAAGATCGATCACTTGTGAGAGTTGGAGGGAAGACAGTGAGGGTCTGGACAACATATCAGCCACCTCATTCTTCGTGCCATCAATGTGGCGCATGTCGGTGGTGAATTGAGAGATGTAGTCCAGGTGGGCGATTTCCCTCGGATTGTACTTGTCGGAGTGGGAGCGAAGTGCAAAAGTCAACGGTTTGTGGTCAGTGAAAACGGTGAAGTCCCGAACTTCGAGGAAATTCCGGAAATGCTTCACAGCCAGGTAAATGGCAAGTAATTCACGTCCAAAGGTACTGAAGCGTGTCTCCGCTGGTAAGAGCTTTTTGGAGAAAAAGGCAAGTGGTTGAGTCGAACCAGCGAGGTGTTGTTGAAGAGCTGCACCAACGGCTGCGGTCGAAGTATCTACCACCAGAAACAAGTGAGCTTTTGGAGCGGGATTCGTGAGTAAGGTGGCGTCAGCAAAGGAATTCTTGATTATCTAAAAAGCAGTCAGTGCTTCACCAGTCAGCTCGAGGGTACCTTTGGGATCAGAAAGCATGTTGGTGAGCGGCAACATGAGGCCAGCACAGTCCGGTAGGAACCGGCGGTAAAAATTCACCATGCCGAGGAATCGCTGCAACTGACGCTTGGAAGTTGGTGGAGGAAAATCACGAACTGCTTCAACCTTGGAGGGGAGGGGACGCAAACCTCAAGAGTCGACCTGACGGCCAAGGAACTTGAGCGAAGGCACACCCAACACGCACTTGGAGGGGTTGACAACAACGCCAAACTTGTCAAGCCGGTCAAACACCAAGGGAAAATGCTCTTTGTGCTCTTCCTCATTCCGACTGACCACCAAGAAGTCATCAATGTAGGCATACACAAAGGGCAGGCCACGTAAGACATGGTCGATGAACTTCTGGAACTTTTGGGCGGCATTACGACGACCAAAGGGCATGCGGACGAACTCAAAGGGACCAAAGGGTGTCTTGACGACGGTTTTAGGGATGTCCTCAGGGGCGACTGGAATCTGATGAAAAGCACGCACCAGATCAATCTTCGTGAAAACCGCTTAGCTGAAAAGGGCTTCAGCAAAGTCCCGAAGATGAGGCACAGGGTACCGATAAGGAATAGTAGCGCTGTTGATGGCACGACAGTCGCCACAGGGTCGCCAGTCGCCTGATGTTGCCTTGGGCCCCATGTGCAGTAGGGACGCTCAAGAGCCCTCGGACGGTCGAATTATTCCCAGTTGCAGCATGTGTTCAAAGTCCGCCTTTGCGGCCTGAAAACGCTCCGGTGCTAGGCGTCTCGGTCGAGCAAACACAGGAGGACCTGAGTTGCGGATATGGTGCACAACATCATGTTGAACCTCACCACTGCGAAACTTGGGGTTACTTATGTTGGGGTGACTAAGCAGCAGTTGCCGAAAAGGATTAACAATATCCGTATCCAAGACAGATAAGTTGGTGGGGGCAGTAAAGAAGGTTAGTACACGAACAAACAGACCGGTTGCGCGGTCGAGAAGACGGGCACGTCGGCAGTCAACAAGAAGATCGAACTCGGCAAGAAAGTCCGAGCCAAGAATTGCATGAGGGACATCAGCAATCACAAAGATCCAGGTGAATGACCGACGAAGACCAATGTTTAGGGTGAGGGACAGACTGCCAAAAGAAGGAATGGGGGAACAGTTGGCAGCTTGGAGGTGAAGACCAGGGCTAGGGAAACGACGATCAGCTGCAGTTGGGGGAACAACACTGATTTGGGCTCCAGTGCCCACCAGAAAACGTCTGCGAGTCGCAGTGTCGCAAACATAGAAGGTGCGACCAGAGCCGGAAGAGCCGGTCGCATTTATTCTCTGGCCGACTGGTTTCCCTATTTCGACTTAAAAGAGCAGGGTAAGGAACAGCGGCGGGCCTTTACGCCGAAATTAGTGTGATACCAGCAAGTATTGGCAGTCCGAGGTCGCGAACGAGAACGACAAAGACTGCGTGAGCGACTGGAAGTTAGGCGGGCGAACTGTATTTTGAGGGAAGACATCTCATCCGCCATGGCCGACACCTGTTTTATTAGATTTTCATTCACTGATGATGAAGATGAGAAGATCTGGGCGACGGAAGGTTACTGGAATCGCTGCACCTCTATCATTCGATCCGCCATCTCAGCCAGCTGTGAGACCGCAAGGCCTTGAGAGCCGGAAGCCAGGATCGTTTGAACATCTGTAGGCAGACGCTCTAGAAACATCTCCTTGACAAATTTATCGTCAACGTGCATGTCTCCAAGGTGAGAACGCATTCGACGACTGCAGCGGTGAAAACAAGGAGGAGAAGAAGAAGAAGAAGAAGAAGAAGAAGAATAGGCTGGAAGAGGAAGAGAGTGGTTGTTGTTGTTGTTGTTGTTGTTGTTGTTGATGTTTCGGTTTTGGCTGTTTTGACCGTGTGTTTTTGTCTGCGGCCACGGCCAGCCTACAGACAGCGTGGTTCCCAGCGATCTTTAGGGTACCTTTTCTAGCCCCTCCCCCCTCGCGAGGGCAGGCAACGCATCCCTGAACAGGGCTGCCCGGTTATCCCAGACGGCTGTCGAACTCCACTATGGGCCAGGACTTTTTGTTAGTGAGAGAACGACCCGAATTAACCTGGCACCTTGGTGGTGATGGTAATGAATTTGTTGAGAGCATGCAAACAAAAGAAAGCTATTGGACTTACAGTTAGCTAGAGCGGAAAAGCAGACACATTCATAATTCAAAGAAAGAAGCGAGAGGGCATCCTCCGAGATCAAGCATAGTAACGTCTAACTATAAACCGTGAGAGGCATAGACTAAAAGACAGACAGTCGTAGCCAGCATCAAGTGTTTCATCTAAATAATAACAGACAGACTAACACATAGAGGGCAGACAACAAGAGCAGCAAACAATACGGAATTTAAGCAGACAGAGGAAAGAGACAAAGCAAATTCACTTACCTGATAACGAACATACCTGGTGGCCGCCAACGATGGTCCAGGCAGAGCCTCGTCTCGACGATGTCGACGCGAAGATCCATCCGGCCAGCGCAGACCACAGTGCCGCGCGTGCAGGTGCACGCACGGATACCCTCACCTGGTTTAGCCCGCCGGTCGAGACGGTTGCCCGGGGTGTGGCCGCTGAGCAGAGCCCACCTACGTGGAGCCGCAGGTGAGAGTTGGGTGCCAGCAAATGGACGCTAGGCGTAGTCTCATCTGCAAGCAAGTGAGCGACCACTACGACCATCACGTGGACCCACCGCTGACACCCCTACACCCCACACACACACACACACACACACACACACGCACGACAGTTCGACCGTCGATTTCGACGATGTCCACCGTGTGCCCCAACGACTGCACCGTGGGAGCAGGGACGGTGACTTACGCAGGGGTTTATAGTGCCAGTAGACTTGCGTAGCATCTACCTACACTCTCTCATCCTCCCCCGCCTGGGCCCGGTGTCAAGACAGAGTCAAGAAGACCGAAGACGAGGGAGGCCGCAGGTGGATGGCTCGGACGGATCCTCACCTTGGCGTTCCACCAACCCCCTGGTCCACACAACAATAACCAGGATTTCAACCAACAACAGAGATTTGGAGGCTGGCACGGCCGAAGCCGCACCTGGGCGTGCCGCCAACGCCTGGCTCGGATCCCGCACTGTGGTAGGAGTGCCATAAAGGCCACATTAAAAAGGAGCCATTGCAGCCTGACCTCAGACAGCCTCCAGTGAAGGAAGAGGTCCAAGGTACCCCGTCAGTTGGCAACCTTCCAAGCCACGGCTTTTAGCGCACCGTGATAGCCTCAAGCGCGTCAGATTGATTATAGTGAGGAGAAAGTGCGCTGAGTCGTCGACCTCACTCTCCATCCCCATTCCCACACCCCAGCCGCTGTCCGAGCCGGTCAGCAGACGGGAGTGGGGAATGGGCGCGGTGGTTGACATGGTCGACTGACCATGCCTGCGCGCGCCACAGCACGACCTGGCCCCCCATACACACACAAACAACAGGATTTCACACAACGGGGACACACACACACACACTATGGACTCAAATGACTTGGAGATTTAGTGAACGTTAATCTAGGTCGTTTACGATGGTGGATAAAATGACGACCGAAGCGTGTACTGCTTGTGTCTCACATGTACAAACCGTGTTGCAGAAGTCGTACGGTTTCCCCAATTTTTTTTATTAATGCAACTTTGGAAGTGCTATTTATATGCATTCCTCATGGACAGTTCACATTCTACCATCGTTTACCGGGACTACTCTCTCTAACTCCCAGTCATCTAAGGTCTAAACCATTTCCAAAGTAAATTGTCAAAACCATTACACTCCTTCGATAATGACGTGTATTTTGAGGTCTTGAAATTAGGTGTCGTGGTACTGACTACCGAATTGTCTCTTCTCCCCTCCACCCACGTCACAGCACAATTATCGATTTTCCTCACTCTTAGCTGAATTTTAATCTCCGATTTATTGTTTCTGTAGCAAAAAATATTGGCAATGGCCGGAATCAGTGGGAACATTTGAGGCTGCAGAGTTTGGCAGTAGGGAAATTGGGATCGCGCATACACGAAAACAAGCGTCGCATGTTGCTACCCACACTAAACGAAAGAGATCACTGGTTTAACCTTGACTAGTCTCAGATTCTTCGATTTCGGTGGTTGCAAAAGGAAGCGGGCGGGTCGATTGGAGACTGGCACGCTGATTGAACCTCAGTTAAGCGGTAAATCGACTTCGTGCTGACTGGCAGTATTATCCTTCTTTCAAAAAGATGCATTCATATTTCTAAGCATTTGGTCCTCCCGTTAAAACTTCCTTAGTAATGCTTGTCCCTTGTGATGTCCAGCAGTCTTCCATTGTTTGGTATTTAAAATCTAGCAGAATTAGACATTAAAATACTGTCTGTGCCGACGAGACAGAAATTCGAGAGACTGATGTCCGCGTTCTAAGCAATATTACCAGCTTAGGCAGAATGTTATTGCCAAGAAAGACAAGGCGGACTGGAATGGCCATTTCTGTGTTGCCAGAATTCAGGCAAGGCAAAATTAATCGCATGAAGGGACTGGGCGGGAGCATCAAGTTGTTGGTTGGAATGAGACATAATAAGACGGAGATTGTAAAATATCAGAATTTGTGAGCAAAGTAAAAGTAAATGGAATAGATATTCACAAACAAATAGTACGGTAAATGTAATTCAGTATCACACAAAAAGGTATAAAGTCTGCGTTAACGCCGAGAGTCACCAATGACTTAAATAGTAATGTTTTCACGAACTAACGAGTTATATCTCACGAGCCCCTAGCCTTAAAAGCATCAAGTAAAACTGAGCAGTGAATAATATAGAGATTTGGAACATTAAGTAACTTGACAACAGAGCACGAAAGCGGAGCACGCTCGCAAGGCGGGTTGTACAGGTGTGTTGTTTTCCGTCATTCAAACAAGCAATCCGGGCAAATAAAACAGGACTAAATTGTCAAAGGTAAATTAGCCCGGTACCTCACCACATATCATCAACGAGGTGACGATCTGCACATGAATATTAGAGGAGTTATGGAAATACATCCTAATAGACAAGGAAAAAACCACATAACGTGCGTATGAACGACTGTTTGTAGCTTCATATTAGGTCAACTGACTATCGTAAAATAAAAATTTGAGAAAAACTAATATTTCGTTTAATTATTATATACAATAATGGAATGCACTCGTGAACAGAATAGTTAATAATCGCCGTTTATTTCATTCTAAAGTAAAGAACGTCAGTCCCAGATCACATAAAAGCCAAAAAACGCAGCTTGATTTTCTGCACAAGGTGTTAAAAGTAATGGAAGCTATAAACTCGGAGAACTTGCTAGAATACTGCCAGACAAGGGCACTGATATCGAGCGTAGCAGAATGCCAATTTATTAGCTTGCGCACCCACAGATGTGCATTCCGGTGCGTCCAATGTCGAAGGAAGAGAGCTCTAAGGGTCCCGATGTCGGGTCAAGTAATATGGGCCTACGTAGACGAAGTTCAATATCGTCTGTGGTTTGGCCTATATAGCGTTTGCTACGTTTGCTGACGATTTAAAGCTTAAGACCGTCATCTACAACGAGGACGATGAGGAAAATCTACAGGCAAACTTGAACCGACTAGATCAATGGTCAGGCCACAGGCTCCTCTCATTTAATGTTACCATGTGCAACATTCTGTGAATTGGCAGAACCAGCTCTGCGCACCGGAAGACGTAATATCTAAATCACACACCGCTGTCAGTGGCAGACGTTCAGACGGTTTTAGGTGTGTGGATTACATCTTCACTAAAGCCATCATTCCACTGCTTGAAAGCAGCGAGTTCCGCAATGTCCAGCTTATATCTTATCAAGCGGGAATTTGCAAAGTTCGACGAAGAGTGCTTTCGCAAGGTCTTTGGGATTTTTGTGCTTCCACAGTTAGAATTTGCCATTCAGGCCTGGCGACCCTGGTCTGTCAAAGGTCTACCACCCTCGAAAATGTCCAACGACGGGCAACCAGGCTTGCCAGACTTTCAAATCTTGACTTCTTTCCCCTGGACCATAGACAACTACGTGGCGAGTTAATTCAAACGTTTCGAATGCTACGGGGTCAGAATTGCTGTCTCTCATCTGGCGACTTCTTTGAGCTGGCCACCACTACTAGCGTGAGAGGACATCCTCTGAAACTACCTGTGACACGGGCGAGACTGGAAGCAAGGAGGTCCTTCTTCAGCCACAGAGTGGTAAAGGAATGAAATGCCCTGCATGTGGACGTCGTTATGTCCCCATTTATGGACACATTTAAGAGGAATCTTGACCAATACAGGGATTTGAAACTGAACGACATCAGAAACTAACAAGTTTCCCCCTGTACCAAACACCCACAAGGTTTTACGTTACACAACATTGTACTACATATATTTAGGTAGCATTACTTTTTGACTTTTGTTGTCTCCTGGCCGAACCATATATGCTTGCTTTGGTACTACTTGGTCCATTCAGTACCGCGTACTAGATATTGTACAATTCTGACATAGAAGGCATTCACAGACAAACTTATACCAGTAACCAATGCTCGTTGTATGTAGTTACTTACCTAATTCTAGTTGTGAAAGTTTCCATAGGAGTAATCAGAAGACAGCAGTTATCAGAGCACACGTAGCTTTCGATAAATTCTCGTCGGACCAGTACAGTTATATGGGAAGGGGGTAGAAGTAAAAACACGTTAGTAATAAGATAAATCGCTTAAAAACCACCTTAAAACACAGGCTGACTGTGCGAATGTGGGGGAGGGGGGGGCGATGGCAGTCAGTGTCAGGGACGGGGTGGGAGTGGAAGGGCGCGGGAGAGTTGTAGTGCAAGCCTACAGTGATCGAAAGTCGACTAACGCTACAACTCTCACGCGTCCTTCCGTTATCATCCCGCCCATGACATTGACTGCTATTATGCACCCCTCACATTCCCACACTCAGCCTGTGTTTAAGGCGAATTTCAATCGATTTATCTTATCACTGACGTGTTTTTACTTCTACCCCCATCACTTATATTTGTACTGCCCCGACGAGAATTTATCGAAAGCCATGTATGCTCGCCACCTCGTCTTCTAATTACCTAATTTTATTTGACACTTGCCTTACACTTTGTTTTTTTATGACGTTATTGTAACCAAAAGGGAGTTCAAAGGCGCTCGCCTACCTTTCCCTTTATAAATCTGACCTGATCTGATCAACGACACAACTAAAACCTTTAACTTCTGCCTGCTTCTGCTAATCTCGACTTGATGATGTGATCAAGACAGTCTGAATCCACTCGCTGTATAGATGCTGCATGCGCGGTGGCAAGGTTCTCAAACTCGATGCGGACTGCTTCAGTGCATGCTTCGTGTATGGCGACACCCTCCTGACCGACAGGATCGTATTCTCGGGTAGCGCCTAATATTAGCCGATTTGAATGCCAAGAAATTATCAGGCGCTCATGAAGCGTGTGTGTTAATCTTGTCTGCACTGATAACTCACAGAACCGATAAGTTCACTTCAC